CAAAACTGCCTTTACCCCAACCTAAAACATAGTTTCTTATCCAGCAAGAGTGGAGGTGAAGGAAATTCAGTAAATTCTGTAAAGTGTCTCATATTCTCCTATCTCTCTTGGCAGTATGAACACATGCCATGAGTAATTTTTCCACTGGAATGTTGTCCACTGGAAGGAACTGGCAATACATATCCAAGCTGGATTTGTTGATATTTGACCTATCCTAAAATATTAAGTAGAACATGTTTGGGTGGACACTTTTTTTTTCAAAAATAATGTATTCATTTACACATTTTAAACATTTTTTATTGTAAAAAATACTGTACAGAGGGGTTATAGTTACATGAGCAAGGTAATGAAGACATTTCTTATCCAGCATTGTTGCCTCCTCCTTCCTCTACCATTCCTTCCCTCCCTCCTCCACAACTTCAATTCTCTCTCCCCTTCAGCCCCCCTCCCCGCGCCTAAATTGTAAAGTTAGTTTTTCCACATAGTGTCTTAAACATCTCATTGGTGCAATGGGTCAACCTGTATCCCTATTTAAACAATTTGTATTTTCCCTTCCTCTCCACAAATTAGACCAATATCAAATACAGTGAAAACAGGGGTTATACCATGGGAGAGGAACATACAAAAAATCACGTGGTACTTTATAAAGATGTTAGAAACAATAGCAAGAAAGAAAAACCATTTGTGTTCCTATCTTGGGGTTCATTTTGCTTAACATCATCTTATCTGGTTATATGTCCATAGTTTTTTACCTTTTCTGCTTGTCCCAGACATATACTAGTTATTGCAAATAAGGTATACCATGGGACCTATGTTCCTTTGAGCCTGGCTTACTTCACTTAATATAATTTTTTCCAAGTCTTTCCTTTTCCTATCAAATGAGACGATGTCATTCTTTCTCATGGAGGCATAGAATTCCATTGTGTATATATACCACATTTTCTTGATCCATTCATTTCCTGAGGGGCATCAGGGTTGGTTCCCTATGTTAACTAGGGTAAATAATGCTGCAGTAAACATAGTTGTGCTGGTAGCTTTAGTAAGATATTGTTTGTGGTCATTTGGGTAAATGCCCACATTTTGTGACTTAACACCTTTTCAACATAATCTCACATTCTTCAAATAAATATTTTAGTGTAAATATGACAAAGCTTAAAGGGAATGATATTTTCTTCTAGGGAGGCTCAATTGCTGAGAAAACAATTCATGGACATATAAAACCACACATTCTTTTGTGTTTTCCAAATGAGCTAAATACATAGAATATCTAACCTGAAACAATCCATAGATGCAACTCTATGAATTTTGTTACAATCTTCTCTTGTTCCTTTCAATCTTCCATACTATAAATTTCAGATAAAGGAGTAGTTGTGGTGCAGTGAGCATTCAAAACTTCTTTTGGTGTTGAGCAAAGCTGCCCATCTAAAAATTGTTTTGTCTCCAGCCTAGACAAAGAACTGGAAGGATCTCCTGCTCTGTCTCTAAATCTTCATTGAAAGCTCTTTGAAGATGTGTCCCTCAAAATCATAATAAGAATTTCTTCATGAAGCACAAACTATATAAAGATCTGTTTTGAAACTAACTAACAGGTTGTGGAGGAACAAAGGCTGGGCATGAAAACACATTCTTTTTCAAAACTATGTTTTTTATTGTAAAAGTACTGCATAGAGGGGTTACAGTTACATGAGCAAAGTAATGAGTACATTTCCTATCAAGCATTGTTGCCTCCTCCTTTGTTTTTCCCCTACCATCCCTTCCCTCCCACCCCCACAACTACACTCTCCCTCTCCCCACCTAAATTGTAAAGTTCATTTTTCAACATAGTGTCTTGTAAATCTCATTGTTAGAATGAGTCAACCTGTATCCCTATTTAAGCATTGTGTTTTTTCCCTTCCTTTCCCCAAATTAGAGAAGTGTATATACATTCTTGAAGCTGGAGTTAGTGATGAGTGACAAGGTCTATCCAAGGCCTGTCATGCTTCTTAGCATGACCCAACAGGTCACATAATATAAAATATATCCAGTCTCTTCTGGGTAATGAATTCACTGATGAAGCAAACAGTCATTGTTTATTTTTTTCAAACAGTCATTCTTTTGGTAACAATATACATAGTGGAAAACAAGTGTGTGTTTGTGTGTGTGTGTATATATATATATATACATATATATATGTGTATGTGTACACACCTTTATCTCCATATACATATATGTTCTCTTCTATGACAATTTGAGGCAAGATAATGGAGTGATCAACAGAAATGTACAAGTTTAACTTAGCTGCTGTATTTATATTACTCTAGTTTTAACTCTTGGAATCTTTTCCCAGAAGATCTTTACCTAGACAGAACTTTTTCAGTAAGCCCATGGTTTCTTTCACATTTGTGTTCTTGTTGTATTGGTCCTCTGTCGCTTGATGAAAAATGAGGAAAATAAAACCTAATCACAATTGTCTGCAATTTCATGTTAAATGTCAACATCCTCATGTGTTACTGATCATCCAATACAAAGCTCTCTATTGTTTGACACTCAGGATTATATTCAGCCAGGCTCACTTGCTCAATTTGACTGTCAATCATGGCTGCACTATTCTCCTCCTGGCATTACTAAACCAGTTGTGTACTTGGAGAATTGTGAGTGTTTTGTCTTGTACTAATTGTATTTTTTGCTCTTCAGAAGGGTAGGGATATATGAGGAACTGGAAGAGCCAGGCTCTCATAACATTTGTTGCTACTTAGGGGAAAATATCTCTTTTGTTGTAGTGCTTTTTCCTTGTTTGGATGGTCACTGTCACCTGTGCCAGGTGAAGTTTCACTGTTGTCTAAACCATCCCCTTGCTCATTACTCTTATTTCCACTCTGGGAAGCATGGCCCCACTGGAAGGTCCTGGGTGCCTGCTGAGTAGGGGGAGGTCATACCATCATGATGTCAAAGGGTTAAGGGTTATGGTCAGCAAGATTTGTGGGAGAGACTGAAAGATATTCACAGTGTGACTTTGAGCTGCCATCTCTTTCATTACTGATGGGGTTGATGGGCATTTTCCCCTTCAAATCACTACTATACCAGTGGCAGAAATTATCACACAGTTTATGGACATTTTCTACCTGCAAAAGGTGAAACCTTCATACTTGTATTGCTATATCATCAGACTATACAGCTTTGGATTTGATGAAAGGATTAGCTTGTCCTGAGGCCGTGCTTGGTGAAGACTGCAGTGTCCTCCTCAAGGGAGTGGGAAGAACAGATGTCCCTGATGGCCATGCAAGGTTCCTGAGAGAACAGGTTGCCAGCTCACACTTCTCAAAGACCAGAGCTAACAGAGAGAACAACAGCTTCCTATAGATTGTGTTTTGCTTCAAGTCATACTTGATCTTGACCCAATGCTGGACTATCTGAAATTGGCATATGGGGCATGTAGCACACTGCTGTGTGGCCTTCCAGGTCTCCCTCTCTGCTGTCCCAGTTTCTTTCTTTCTTTTTTTAGGGGGAGTCTGGTCGTGGGGCCTGAATTCTGCGCCTGGGCACTGTCCCTCAGCTCTTCAGCTCAAGGCTGGCGCTCTACCACTTGAGCCACAGCGCCACTCCCGGCTTTTTTCTTTTTGCTTATGTGGTGCTGAGGAATCGAACCCAGGGCCTCAGGCATGCAAGGCAAGGGCTCTACCACTGAGCTACTTCCCAGCCCCCCAGTTTATTTCCTATAGAGACCTCTAAGATGGTGCTAAGATGGTGACTTGCTTGTGGGTTAAACTGAAGAAATTTGAATTTTTCTCTGTGTGTCCAAATACAAATTTAAGTGTAACTGCTCTCAGATTACTCACAACTAGAAAGGTAATGCCAAGCTTTCATGCGATTCAAAAGATTAAATGACTGTTAAGTGTTTATAATTCAAGTCATAAGTAGATATTTGTCCAGATCCATGGGGACCAATGTCACATGCCAATGATCCTCACTACTCAGAGGAAGCTAAGATCTAGAAGGTCAAAGTTTGAAGTCAGCCTAGGAAGGAAATTCTTCAAGACTTCATCTCCAAACTAACCAGTAAAAAGTCAGGCTGGAGATGTGGGTCACCTGCTAGAGTGCCAACCAAGCAAGTAAGCAAGAAGTGGAATGTGAGGCCCTGATTCAAACCCCAATACATGAGCTGAAAACTCTATACAGGAATGGGAGCTGGACTTCAAAAGACCCACCCAAGACACATGGACAAACTCCACAGAGACATAGTTGTTCCTGAATAACATGTATCTAAAATTTTTTACCATATTTCATTGGTGTTTAGGAAAATGGAGAGAATCCTAGAACACTTTAATTTCCATCTACAAACATTTCTTAGAATAAATCTAGCTGCAAAGAATTCTGTTTTCTGGCTCACCAACTCATTGGATTCTGTGACCAATTTGTAGGTAACATGAAGTTCACATAGAAGGCAGTGACAGAAGATTGCTGCAGACTTTAAACCTCATAGGTGTCAGGATCTAAACCCGAGATTTCTTTGTGCTCTGTTGATTTAAAAATCTACCTTGTTTTTGTTTGTTTGTTTGTTTTGGTCAGTTGAGGGGCTTGGACTCTGGTCCTGGGTTTTCTTCGTGAGCTGTTTAGCTCAAGGCTAGTGCTCTACCACTTGAGCCACAGCCATACCTCTGGTTTTCTGGTGGTTAAGTGGAGACAAAATTCTCATGGACATTCCTGCCCAGGCTAGCTTTGAACCACAATGCTCAGTTCTCAGCCTCCTGCGTAGCTAGGATTACAGGCATGAGCCACCAGCCTAGCTTGACCACATGATTTTCAATCTACTTTAGAGGAAGAAAGTTTGGAAGGAGATGAGAACAGTTGTTAGAGATGTATACTACCTACTCCTCCAGAGAAATAGATGTTTAAGTATCTTAAGCCTAATAATGTTATCATGTGTATCCAAAAGAGCTTGGGAGATGTGATTTGGTTAAACATTACCAAACAGGAGAGATATCTTGAATATTCTGAGTGAGTCTGAAGTCATCCCAAGGGTCCTTATAATGTTGAGTAAGGAATGTCCAAAAAAGGAGTTGATGGTGGAAAGGATGGGTCATGTTGTATTAGTAGAGTTCAGATCTGAGAATATGAGAAGAAGTCAGCACTGAAGAAGGTCAGAAATTGAATTCTTTTTCTTAGAGCCATAAAAGGAGTACAATACTCCTGAGTCCTTAATTTTTCTCCCTCAGAGTCTGTCCAGCTGATTGCAACCCCCTGGACTTGCATACTTCCTCCATCTAGCTGAGAGCCCGTGTTTCCTGCTTCTGGATGAGAAAGCTTGCATTGCTCAACAGAAAATCAGGGCACACAGGTCTTTTAGATCCTTCTGCATGGAAGTTTCCTATAGGATAATTCAGCAAGAAGCCTAGGTATTGGTTTTCTGCAGCAATTGACCAAAGTTTCTATGACTTGAAGAGGAAAAATGGGAAATTAATAGTTCTGGACACAGGGCTCAATGTGTTGGCAGAGTGCCTTTTCATTTGTAGAGTGTCAGAGAGAATATTTCTGTTGCCCTTTCCTACTCCTAGAAGGTTAACTTCTTTCTTTGACAGGTGTCCTTTCTCTTCCATGCTCAGAGCAAGCAACCTGTCAGTTCTGACCCTTCTGGGGGCACTGACATCTCTGACATCTCTATAGGCTTTCTAAATGTGCACAAAGAAATGCCATTGCATATTAATGTTAGTATATATTAACGTTATTTTGTGTTCCTCTGACTTTGATTCTCAGTCTTTATATCTCATGTTAATTAATAATATGTAATGTTTAGAAAAAGACTTTGTACCTCTATGGGAACAATGTGCCAATTTATCACACACTTATTTACAATAACAATTGAGTACCTAGTTTGGAGGAGAGAGTTATAGCAGGAATGAAGAGACTAATAAACCACAAATCGCACATTTGTACTGGGAATCTGAGAGGTCTGGGGCCTAAAGAATGTTGAAAGTCTGTTTTGCGTGTTATCAGTACTCACCTGTCTTTTACAGAGCAGCTTGCCTGGGAGTTTCTTCATCTGCCATGGAACATGGCCATAAAGACAAAATGGAGACCATGACTTTCTCCAAAGTCAACCTGATGCGGCTCATATACGTAATTTTAGGTACTTGGGTGGTGTAAACTGGGGGATTACAGTTCATTTCAACCCAAGCAAAACATAGGGCCTTATTTAAAGTAGTATTTGGGAGGCATGCATCTTCAGGATCAATATCATAAAAAGGGTGAGGATAGAATTCTCAGGTATTTGAAAATTGGCTGTGTTCTTAGAGTCTTTGGTACTTGCCCTTTGACAAGGTGGCATGGGCAGGATATTATTTTTGTTGTTGGTTGTGGGGCTTGAACTTGGGGTCTGGCTCTGTCCCTTAGCTATTTTGCTCAAGGTAAGTGTGCTACTATTACTTGGAGCCACAGTGCCACTTCTGAGCAGAACATTGTATTCAGTATAGGATTACAACCCTCTACTATATTATTCTGTTGTCAATAAGGAAATGTTAGTAGAAAGTGGGAAGGTGGTTCATGAGAATAATATCAGCAGTCATGGAGATATCAAGATCAAGGGCAACCTAAGTTATATGGCAAGATCCAGAAAAAATAAGCAAGCAACAAATACCAACAAAACCAAAGAAACAAAAATGTCAGTTGGGACAGTTTTGTATTGTGGCTCTACAGTATTTAAGCTATGCTTTGGAGCTTTTTGCCTTGTTGTGTATCTGTTATTCTGTCTAATTATTAGATGTATTGACAATTTTGCCATAAGCTTGCAATGAATACACTATGGAGTACCAGATGATGGAGTTGCTTTTCCTGTACAGAGCAGTTTCTGAGAAGTCTGTGACTGTAGGTTGAAGTAGCTGAGTGGGAGACTGGATTCAAGTGATGAGAATAGTACTAGAAATCAACTAGGCAAAATTTCTAAGTGGCATCCTTTCTTATCTTTCGATGGGATGCTTAGTTTTTAAAAATGTTATTGTAGAGATGATATACAGAGGTGTATAGTTTCATGAGTCACGCAATGAGTATGAGTACAATTCTTTTTGAATCATATCTCCCCTCAGTCACACTCTGCTGGATTTCCCATCCCATCTCCACCAACAAGATACCCAGTTCATTTTCCATAGTGTCAAGTAAGTATCACTGTTGCATTTGTTCATCTCTATTCCACCTTTTATGTACCCTCTCTTAACTTCCCAAATGCAAACTAACAAGACAAAAGGAAAGGAAAATAAAAGTAGCAACAATGGCAACTAAAGAGTATCTCTTGTTTCCTTTTCTTGGAGTTCATTTCATAGAATAGTATTTTATATGATCATTTGTACACAGCTGTTGAGGCTTTGTGCACCACTCCTATGCATATCCTCCTTTGGCGTTTGAATGTTAATGTCTAGAGTCCTATATAATTGATCATGTCTCAGTGTGTGTACACACATATACCTATATATGATTTTGAAATCAGTTCTGAACTTATTTTAGTAAATGACTTGTGGAAGGTAAATATTTAAGGTATTTTGGAAGAGGAAGGATGAACAATCATCCTCAGTAGACTTTGTGTCCATGAAGCTGACCAGCAGGAGGCATCAAAGGCCAACATCCCATCACCTCCACACTCTTCTCCTGTGCTGGCGTTCAACTGAAGGGCTCTTGCTGCTCTGCTCTTAGTTGGGTTTTTAGTTCAGGGATTACTCTCTACCACTTGAACGATGCCTCCACTTCCACTTTTCTCCATGGTTATTTGAAGATAAGAAAATGTCAGATTTGTCTGCCAGGACTGGCTCTAAACTGTTGATTCTCAAACCTCAGCCTTGCGAGGAGCTATGAGTATAGATGGTAAGCCATTGGTGTCTGGCCCACTTGCTTTTCTTTTTTTTTATGGTGAATAGTTTATTTTCCAAGTTTTCAACTTGATATGTGAGAGTTGTGAGCCTCTACATGAAAGCATGAGCCATTTAATATCAGCCTAGCATGAATGAAACATTTCTCTTCAATCAACACATTAATTGAACATTTCAAATGGAAAAGATGTTTTTTAAACAGGGTCTTGGTTCTGGAATATCACACAGAGTTCTACTCTAGAGTAGTTAGCTGCTCCTTTTCAGGGTCCATGCAAGTTGTTCCTTGTCCTTTTTGACTTCTAGATATTGGGCTACCTTCCAGGGCCCAGAATGCCTTTATTTGTGTATTAAATTGCCTAATGATCACTCTGTGTCCTAACTTTTCACTTCTAGTCCAGACTGCTTCTTCTCATTCAGAATTGCACATTGATAACCCCTTAAGGAATGTTTTTAGTTGGAGGTCTCCATTTGAATGTTTTCCTCTTGAAGTCCTGCATGCCTTCCAAATTTGCTTTCTGTTGGGCATCCCTCTCCCAGAAAATATCACCCTCAATTCTCTGGTGTCAAAGTTTCAAACAATGCAATCGTCACGTTGATTTTCTTTTATTCTGGCAATTGCCTCCAAATTGCCAGAAAATAAACATATGTATAGCATGATGAGCTCTGGCCATCTTTCAGCACAGTCATCCAGGGGTTAAAAGACTAGATGTGAAGAATATCCTAGATGTATTCCAGTTATTACAAATGAGGGAAACCATGCAGCATATATAACTTTGGGTCCGGATAGAAATGCAACTAGGTAAATTGAAGGTATGAGTAGTGAGAGATGGGGAGAAGTATGAAGTGGGTGACATTGAACAAAATGCACTGATAAACTGACATGATATATTGAAAGTCCCTTCCACAAGTTCATAAAGATAATAACAAATAAAAATAATAGAAGCAAAAATAAAATATGCAATACTATTTACACTGTTTAATTCACCATGCTTGTTAGCTTTCTGTTACAGTGACTACACAACATGTTTGAAGAAGTCTATTTTGGCTCATAATTTGGAGGTTCCTGTCCTGTTTTTCCATGAAAGATGGTGAAGGGAGACTGCAAATAAATGGAGAATCAATGTGAAATGACTTTTATTTTTCAGGTATATGAAATGTACACTTCCATTACTCAAAGGAAAGCTAAACATATTCCATTGTAATTAACAAGACAGGGATATGTAGGAAATGGACACAACACAGACAGTTTTCACTACTCTCACTCCAGTTTTGACTCGTGCATTCATGTTTGAGTTTAGGATACATCATATTCTTTCCTCAGATGTCAAATCCCAACATGAATATATCTTGTTATCGAAGCATCTGGACAAGGAATGGATGACAAATGAAACCAGTGTCATTTGCTTCTTAGTCTTTTCAGGATGCAGTCAGACAGAGTGTGATAAGAACTCCTCAAAAAACTTCTGGGAAGATGGTGTAAGAGAAGCTGGAGGCTAAACATAGAAAGCAGTTTTAGTGTTCCAGTGAACAGTCCTAAGCCAGAGAATTACACTAAGTGTGCCATCACAGTACAGAGAGTTTGGCCAGAGAAGGAAAATCCAGGCAAGGAGACAGATCTGAGCACTTGCCAACTTAAATGGCTGCTGCTTCAGGGGTGGCAGCGGTGGCCATAGCTGCCACACTTACAACACAGAGAGTCTGGGACCAAAGCACCAGACGCAGCAGGGGAGGGGATTCTACTCAAAACCACCAAGATATGACAAGGAGCAGATATCTTCATCCTGCAGATCACAGACCAGAGATGATCCAGGAAACAAAACTCCAGTGTGAGTAGAACCCTGACATCCTCACTCCTTCTCAGGGAACACAGGAGGGAAGGCCACCCCTGCCCCCACTACCGGAGATCTCCATCTTTGATAATGACAAAGGCCCGGTTGAGCAGCTAGCTCCAACTCAGGCCTTGGGAGAGAACAAGAGTCATTTAGCAGGTCACAGGAACCTAATCTGACCTGCCAGGCTCAACTCCACTCAGGGGAATGTCACCCAGCCCCACGGAGAAGTGACTTTCTTCACTGGGTCAACAGAGCCAGAGTCTGCCCCCCCATAGGAGCCTAGACAATCAATTGAAATTCAGTAAACATAAACCCTGAGAATGGCTCCAGTATGTGCTCTGTGAGTGTCTCAGAAGCTAGCCCCTCAGGGAAAAGCTACTGTTTCCTGAAAGGCCTCAACTCTACCCAGAACCCAGCCTCATCACAGCATCTCCAAGATAGTGGAAACAGCCATCTCCCTCTTTTGTGATATGCAAAGCACATCTCTCTCCCACTGAACTAGCCTAGGAAGAGGATCACAAAGTCCTGGTAACGCAGAGCATTTTTTCTGCCTGCCCAAACAAAGTGACTTAGAGAACCCTATCAAGCCCCAGGAAAACCAAACACCACAAACAGACCAGAGACTCCACCAAGAGACTGGTTATGGACACAGGGAAGATACAGGATCTTCCCATCCACCCCTACCCCCCAAAAAATCAAAGAACTTTTTTTTACATCTTTTTTAAAAATTTTAATTTGTAATAAAAAATTGTTTTCTATTAATCATTTTTTTCTTCCTCTTATTTTTATTTTAGGTGTATATGTGTGTGTGTCCTTTTTTTTGTTTGTTAAATCTCTACTGCCGTTTTGCTCCTTTTTCTTTTTTTTTTGTTCTTTCTCATTTTTTGGGGGGGAGTCTGGTCGTGGGGCTGAACTCTGGGCTTGGGCATTGTCCCTCAGCTCTTCAGCTCAAGGCTAGTGCTCTACCACTTGAGCCAAGTGCCACTTCCGGCTTTTTCCTTTTTGTTTATGCGGTGCTGAGGAATCGAACCCAGGGCCTCATGCATGCAAGGCAAGCGCTCTACCACTGAGCCACCTTCCCATCCCCCTTTCTCATTCTTTTACTTTTTCTTTTCTTTCATTCTTTTTTGTGTGACTTAATTGCAGTTCTACTCATCCTCAGATATACCCATCGTCAATTATTAGACCTTATCGCCCATTGTGTATGTGTACACACTTAATCCAGAAATTTATTACTCAATTTTAAATTTCTTTGGCTCAAATTACTTAATAGCAGTATTATTTCTTTATACCTATACAATATTTTAAGTATTATTATTTTTTAGTTTTTCAGGTCTCCTTTCTATCCCTCTCCTCCTCTAAGCATATCCTTGTTCGTCTCTCAATATTACTTCTTTGCTCTTGCATAATTTTTAAGTGTTTCACTTTTTCAATTTAAATTTTTGTTTTTCCATTTTTTTCTTGTCTCTTTTTTTTCTTTTTTACTTCTCTCTCTTATCAATCTGTTCAATCTATGTCCGTCATTGAGGTTAGGACTTGGTTAATTTTACTCTCGTTTTACCTTTCCACATTCTTCTAACCTTATTGTTCCCCACATTTCTCCCTAAACCTAATAATTTCTGGTTTGCCAAATTCTTTCTTTGCTCTTCTTAGCCCATTAATACCATAGTTTTTTGATGTTGGATAGACTGTATCTGTTGAACTAGATATCATCGGCAGACATTTTTCTGTGCAATTACAGGACTTTGGTTAATGCTTACCATACAATAGTGTTCTAGCACAACACTGGTGTTACTTTTATACCAAATGGGCAGAACAAGCTGGAAAAACACAAGAAAAATGGCAGGTCCCGGTATCTCAACTTCCATTCATGATAATTAGGTGACAGAATAGATAATGAATAATCCAGAGGAAAGTTCACAAAAAGCTGTACACACATTATTGGTAAACATGGTAAATGAAAACATGGAAAACCTGAAAATGACTCAGTGTGAGCTTGATAGGGAGAGAGATGAGGCAAACCAAGGTTAATACAGGAAGCTCATGGGCATGAGGAATCTACTCAAAGATTGATACAGGGATTGCATAAGCAGGTTGAGAACACTAAAATAGAAATAAAGGAATGGCATGAGCAGGCTGATAACAGTCAAAGAGATAGACAGGAATTGGGTGAGCAGGCTGAGAACAGTCAAAGAGAACTACAGGAGATGCGTGAACGTGAGGAAGCTCATCAAAGAGTAATACAGGAATTGCGAGAGCAGGATTGGAAAAGACAAAAATCTATAGAGGCATTCATGGAATCCATAGACAGACAGCTGTAGGAAACCAGGTCGACCACAAAGGGAATGCTGAATGGAGCCCAAAAGAAGGAATGGGAGTCCAAGGAAACCATAACAAAGCAACTAAGTGATTTGAGAATAAACACTGAACACCAAATTAAGGAAGTAAAGAAGTTCATACAAGATCTAAAACAAAGCTCCAACAAAGAATTTGAAGCCATCAAAACTGACCAACTAGAAGGAAAAGAAAAAAAAAAGTAGAAAGTCTTGATAGTAGGTTAGACCATACAGAAGATCAAACCTGGGAGATTGAAGACAGCCTAGATATTATGGAGAAAGAACATACAACCATCCAAGACAAATCCAAGAAATATGATAGATCTATTCAACACTTGGAAGAAACCATCAGAAGGCCTAATCTGTGGATAATGGGTGTAGAGGAGCACCTAGAGACAGAACTTAATGGTCTAGGAAATTTATTTAATAGGATCCTAGCAGAGAACTTCCAAAACATGCAAAAAGATAGGCCTATTCAGATACAAGAAGCTTTTAGAACTCCAAATAGACCAGACCAGAAAAGGAAATCCCACTGTCACATTATAATTGGCACAGGATCAATTCAGACCAAGGAAAACATCCTTAAAGCTGTCAAGGAGAAAAGATCAATCAACTATATAGGGAAACCAATTAGAATCACCTCAGATTTCTCAGCAGAAACAATCAAAGCAAGAAGAGCCTGGAATGATGTATGCCATGCCCTAAAGATAAACAACTATCAACCAAAAATACTGTACCCAGCTAAACTCTCCTTCAGAACTGAAGGTCAAATAAAAACCTTCCATAGGAAAGAAAAATTGAAAAAATATATTTCCACCAAACCATCCCTACAAAAGATTCTTCAGATGTCCTACACATAGAAAACCAACAAAACCACAATAAAGGCCAAGAAAACCCACCCAAACTGAGAATCCAAGAACCATAGGAAGAACCCAGTTGCCACAGCCCCCAAGAAAGGATAAAATGGCAGGAACTCCCAAATGCCTCTCAGTCCTATCTCTCAACATTAACGGACTTAACTCTCCAATTAAGCGACATAGACTGTCTAATTAGATTAAAAAGCAAGATCTTTCTATCTGCTGTCTTCAGGAGACAAACCTTGCCCATAAAAACAAACATATTTTGAAAGTGAAAGGCTGGACCAAAATCTACCAAGCAAACAGCCCCAACAAACAGGCAGGAGTTTCAATCCTAATATCAGATAAAATAGACTTCAAATTAAAATTAGTGAGAAGAGATAAAGAAGGACGTCTCCTTCAAGAGGTTATTACAAATTTAAATATCTATTTGCCAAACAACAGAGCACCCAAATTTGTCAAAGAAATACTATTTTCTCTCAAATCTCACATAGATCCAAAGACATTAATTGTTGGGGACTTTAACACACCACTATCCCCACTAGATAGATCAACTCGGCAAAACCTCAACAGAGAAACAGTAGATCTAAACAACTGCATAGAACAACTAGATTTAACAGACATCTACCGAATATTTCACCCAGCAGCATCAGAATACACGTTTTTCGCGGCAGCACATGGAATATTTTCCAAAAGGGATCACATTTTAGGTCAAAAAGCCAACTTGTCCAAATTCAGAAAGATTGAAGTTATACCTTGCATTCTCTCAGACCACAAGGGAATAAAATTAGAACTCAACACCAAAAGCCACCAAAGAAAGTCCTGTGACACATGGAGGCTGAAAAACACACTGTTTAATCACCAGTGGGTCAAGGAAGAGGTTAGAAACAAATTCCAATGTTTATGATATTCATCAAAAATGAGCACACAAATTAACAGCTTCTCTGGGACACAGCAAAGGCACTACTCAGAGGCAAGTTTATAGCTCTGAGTTCCTACATCAACATATTGGAGAGATCTAAAACCAACAATTTGATGAGATACCTGAACCTCCTTGAAAAAGAGCAGCAAGATAAACCCCAATCCAGTAGACAGAAAGAAATAATTAAAATTAAATCAGAATTAAATGAATTAGAATCCAAACACCATAGAAAGAATCAACAAAACAAAGAGTTGGTTCTTATAAAAAATTAACAAAATGTACAGACCCTTAGCAAACTTATCAGAAAAAGAATTGAACACACACAAATAAACTTAGAGATGAGAATGGAAATATCACCACAGAAACAACCATGATTCAGAATATTACAAGGAAGTACTTCTCAAACCTTTATGCTAATAAGTTTGAGAACTTGGCAGAAATGGACCTTTTCCTAGCAAATATTGACATGCCAAAACTAAACCAAGATGAGTTACACCATCTTAGCAGGCCCATATCAAGCATTGAAATAGAATCAGCAAGAAGAGACATTCCATCTAAGAAAAGCCCAGGACCAGATGGTTTTACTGCAGAATTCTTCAAGGCCTTCAAAACAGAACTCACACCAATACTCCTCCAACTCTTCACTGAAATTGAAAGAGAAAGTTTACTACTGAACTCTTTCTATGAAGCCATCGTAACCCTCATCCCAAAACCAGGCAGGGACTCATTAAAGAAAGAGGACATCCCAAAACCAGGCAGGGACTCATTAAAGAAAGAGGACTATAGGCCCATTTCTTTGATGAACATTGATGCAAAACTTCTCAACAAAATTTTGGCCAATCGACTCCAACAATTTATCCAAAAAATCATACACTACGATCAAACAGGATTCATTTTAGGGATGCAAATCTGCTTCAATATATGCAAATCAATTAATATAATTCATCAAATCAACAAGAGCATGGATAAGAACAACATTGTTATCTCAATAGTTGCAGAAAAAGCATTTATTTGACAAGATCCAACACCCCTTTATGATGA